TTAACGGTACAATATTATAATAAGTAATATTTTAATTAAGTGTGGTTACCTAGATAAGCAGAGTTTCTAATTTCAATTAATTGTTTTTGAGAGCTGTGCAGTCTCGAAATGCAGTTTTGAATCTACTCTGTCGACCGGCATAATATACGTGACACGTATAGCCACCAATTGCTCCCAAAGTGTTGAATTTTTTTTTCTTATTTCACTGGATTGTGAGCGATCGATTAGTATTCGTTCGCAAACGAAAAACTGATCTTTCTGTCGAAAATCTCTCTCGCGGATATGATGATGATATTTCCATAATATTATGACATATTGTAATATACATTTATTATTATATACATAAATACCTATATAGATTCAGATATAAATATATAATTGTACGCGAATTCGCTCGTTTCTATATAGTGTTTCTGTAATATATATGTTACACATATTACGCATTCAAAGCATTACGTATAGGTTTGTTACAATGTTCGCGTCCCGACATTATATTGTTATCTCAATACAAAATATTATCGTACAGGCATATGAAACAAAAACAGCAGTTTAGATATTTTCTTATACCTAAACATATTATAAGAAACAAACTCGGACGACGACGGGGGAGGAGCAGGTATTGTATGCAATCAGTCTATAGCTCTAAACATGAGATAATATTATAGTATGCACAAGATGCATGTATAGGTAATAAATATGTACAGAGTGATTATTTTACCGATGCACACACATAATTTCGAAAAATATAATTTTTTTTCAAATACAGTAGTGTCGCGATAACTAGATCTTCGATAACTCGAAAAAATTTACAACTCAAATTGTGTTTCATTCCCCAAGAAAAATTCTCCCCTATAAATTAGTTAGATAACTTGAATAATACATATCTTGAAGTGAAATTTTATCCCCCTTCAACTTCGAGTTATCTTGAGTAGACTGAATTAGACAGTTAACTACCTACATGTTTTTTTAAAATTAAAAAAAAAAAATTAATTTGTTTTTACCATTATTTTTATTGGTTAAGCCACTGTCAAATTTTGATTTTCAAATAGTCGCAAACTAACAAATCAAACTTTTTTTTATGAATTCTTACGACAAAATTTAAATTTTTCATTAATCCATGGTTTGTGAGATATAGGTGTTCAAAGTTAGATGTCATTGAGAGATGCTAATGCATTTTATGTTTGTTAAGAGAAGGCGATATCAGTAAATAAATTCGATATCGATTGAAACAAGGTAATGTATGGAAATAATAGTAACAATTGATAACCTGTATTGTATCTACAATAATTGATTGTCATGAACTTTAGTAATTGAACTGTTAATTACCACTGTAGCACTGGATCAAAGTATTGAGAATTGGTATGTTTTGTATAGGTATTTTATTTGTACTTTTAAATTTATTCCATTTGGGAAAACTAAAAAAATAAATTACTTTATATTTTTCATTTTTTTCTACAAGTAACAATTATTTGATAGGTATAGGTATAGTAGTTAGGTACTTATTGTTTTCAACAAACATCTCAGTTCATCTTTTTTATGAATAATTACATACACCTTATAATGGGAATAATTCCATGCTATTGGTGACGTCAATTAAACTAGGAGTAGGTACTGGTACGTTTCCGTCGTGGCAAAGTTTCAATAAGTATTTTATCAATCATTTTGAACTTGAGGAACAACATGTTACTGTAGAGGTTCAAAGTTAGCTTAATTCACAACAATAAATTATAAAATTAACTATATTATCATTTAACCATTTACCACATTAAGTTAACCAGTTATAAAATTTATATAGATCAATATAGAAATGACACTTGATCAGCCTGCTGATTTGCCATTAGCTGTAAGTATGGGACTTTAAAAGTTCAAATCGTATCCGTAATGGCGTAACCTGATATAATGTTGGCAACGTGTGTCCTACAAAATAACAAAAATGGAAACACTTAACTGGCGAGTACTGGCAGAATTATAATCTTATTTTATTATAGTATGATTTCTTAAAAGTAATTATATACTGTAATAGAACCGGATTATATTATTATGTTAGTGCCCATATACTCACCAATAAAGTGTTTCCATTTTTATTATAAAGAAGGATACCTACGCGTTGCCAAAATATCCTATCAGTTTACGGGTGTACTGTTTCCACTTTTAGAGACCTAAGACTCTCAAACAGATGTGCCTTAACTTATTTCAAAATCCATATTAAAATGCTTATTGGTAGGGTACTGACGATAATAGTCTTTAAGTCGAAAACTACTTGTTTGAATTTTGATTTTGATAGCTCAATAATTTCAGAAAAATTATCTGCTAAAGGGACGAGGTTTTAGTTAGAAAAACAGAAGTTTGTATCTTCACAGGACACTCCTCAAGTAGTACAAAAAATCTCAACAATTTGAAAAATATAATATTATATTCTTCATGTAAATTAAAAAAATTCTTACAATTGAAGAAAATAGGAGATGACCACGTTTGATGAAATTACATTATGTATACTACTGAGTGCAATACAGTGTACCTATACAAGCCGCACGCATACTATAATACTGTTGCGTATGTGTTATGTATGACTGTACATATAGCTGGGTTTGTTACGATTCGCGTCACGAGATTATATTATCACAGTACAAAATATTATCATTATAATATGCATAATATACGTGAAATGTATAAAAAAAATTCAATTTAGATATTGTTATTTTCCCATATATCGCGTATAGGCATATTATATTATATTACAAGAAACACGCGAACGCGGACGACGACATGGTAGGGGTAGGCTCGTCCTCGAGCGGACGTCATAGCATGTAATCAGTTTGTACCTCAATATAGAGTATACATCATGAGATAATATTATTAAATAGCTTGCACGAGATGCATATAATAACATATACCTGTATAATATACACTATAATAGCTGTTTGGCGTGTGACTGATAACGGTGCGGATGATGTGTGCCTATTTGTATACTATATACCTTTAATCTCGAGCTCGGGCGCGTGTGGGATCGCAAACAATAAATTATATTTATATATACCTGCGCCTATATACGAGATTTTAATGGGCAGGTCGTCGTGGTCTATATATCGCCATTATAATATAGGTACCTAGCTATATGATAATAATAATAATAATATTATGACGTCGGCGAGCGCTTGAACGATTTTTTTTTTTTTTTATTCTATTTTTTGTTCGCACGTCGTTTTCGGGGAAACTGAAAGAGAGAAAAAAAAATGATATCGAATCAATTGCCGGTCGTCGCGACCGCTCGCTCATATATCTATATATGGATAATGACCAGACGTCTTCGGCAGGCTCGTTTGTCATCGCACACCGGACCTGCCGTGCTGCAAGTACGCATTAGCCGTTTATTGCAGACGTCGGTGCGGCCGGGCGGGGGAGTGAAACTGACAACAAGCAGCAGCCGGGGGGGGGGGGGGGCTGCGCACCACTTGTCGAGGCGATTTAAACGATTGCGGGCTCGGGGATGACCGTACGATATGAGCGCGCGCATATATTTTAGGGTGAATATTATGATAATAATACTGTATTATAATATGTATAATGTAGAGAAATAATAATAAGTAGGTTTATAATATTATTCTCATGATATAGAGGAGAATGTGAGTTTTTTGTACTATGTTTTTCGAAAAAATGGAAATTTAACGCATTCTCCGAGTACTCGGCGTGCGAATGTGCAGGGCCGCGTGCAGAGGACTTAGGTATATATAATAGTGGTCCATTTGTACCCTCTAGATTTCCCAGTTGTCGTACAAACGATTTAATTTTAGTTAGCATAATATATGCCTATAATATAAATTTTACCAGCCGGAGAAAAAAACATTAACCACGGCTGCTAATTCGAAATTGTACGTTATGTACAGTTGTAGAATATCATATAATATATTTATACTAGCAATGATTAAGTATATGATAAATTATATTATAAATAATTAATATATTATATTTCATAACATTTAAAAGTGTTGCATATTAGACTAAAATATGAGGAGGTGGCCATAGCAGTGTGGGAATTGCAGGTCTTCTCAACATGCATTTTTTATTCCTTCAGAGTTCAGATATAAAATTTAACATTTATTTTTCGTTTTGTATTTTGTTGATATGGAGCATAATATGGAGCAACATTAGGTATGCTATCTACACCCAAAAATTCAAATCCTAAGCCTGCCTAGTGCCTATGTGTAACACAATAGCTTTGCACACCAATTTAAACATTACATACCAGTATACCACTTGGTATGACACTGCAAAGTATATGCTCTCCTGTAGCATGTAGGTATAATCATTGAACTATATGTATAATCAATGGTATAATGTTTAATTTGAAATAATACAACATACCCAAGCCAGGATTAAGGGGGGGGGGTCTAGGAGGGGCCATGGCCCCCGGGTCTCGATAGTTAGAATTTATTTAGAAGCCTCAAATTTTTCCATCACTTTTTTTATTATAGTCTATAACACTGCATAAATCACCTAAAAAATCGATAATTATTTAGCTAGAAAAAAGCTTGTAAATTATAATTCATAAATAAAGTGATACATTATTCATTATTTATTGCTATGTAGCTAATACCTATATATTATATTTATTATAACAGGTACCTAATTTAAATAATATAATATACATTTTTTTTTTTCGTACGGGGCCTCATTTAAAACTTTGGCCTGCATGGTCTCAAAATGTCTTAATCCGGACTTGAGCACACCTATATTACCTATCTATAGCATGAAGACATGCACCTTTTATGGTGCATCGGAATATAAAAGTGACAATTATTCGTGTCAAATACACTAGTCGTGGTAACCCACTTTATAATTTTTCATTGTATATTTTATTCGCATGTACAAAAAAACTGATTACCTATACCATTTATTATATATATAGAGACTATACCTATTTTATGCTACCCATATATAATTATAATAAGCACCACTCACTTGGATATCCAAAGCGCAGACGCGTACGACCTCCTCGTCTGTCACAGGTAGGGCTCTGGCGAATTGGAACTACTGTCGACGCGCTGGGCAGCGCCCGCGGCCACCGACGAGGTGGACGACGCCGATGAAGTGGCAGCGACGGCTGCTGCTGCGGCCGCGGCGCTCATCGATTCCCTGGCTACGGCCAGCGCGGAAAACCGCTGCTTGTACATGTCGCGTTCCTGCGTGATGCGTGCCAGCTCCGATTTCGTCTTATGCAGCTCGGTCGCCAGTATTTCGTTGGCGTTCTCCAGCTCGATGCGTTGGTTCATCCGCTTGGTCCGGCAGCTCTGCGCGTACCCGCGGTTTTTGAGCGTCCGCCGCTTCTGCTTCAGCCGGGCGATCTCCTCCTTGGAGATGCCCTGCAGCCGCTTGTTGAGATCGCGTACCGGCAGCTGCAGTAGCAGCGCATCGTTGATCAAGTCGTCGGATGAGCCGCCGCCAGGCGTGTACAAGCTGCTGCCACCGCCGTTGCGGGAGCTCAAGGGTGACATGACGCTATCGCTTGACACGCTCAGCGGCCGGTTCTGGCGTTGGGGCATCAGTCGTTGGGATGAGAACTGCAGAGGCTGGTACAGGGAGCAGCTATTCGTGTAATTGTTGTAGACGACACTGTTAGACGAGCCCGGGCTCAATAACCCTTGCATCAGGAGGGACGGGCGACCAAAATGCGGTACCTTGCTACCAGGTACAGAGCAACTGTTATTACTGTTACTCGGCTGTATCACGGTCAAGTGTTGGTGTTGCACCATATTCCACTCCATGTCCGCCGAAACCGTCTGCTGCTGCTGCTGTTGCTGCTGCTGTCGTTGTTGTTGTTGCTGTTCTTCATCTTCATGGTGTTCTTGTTGCTGTTGTTGTTGATGGTGGTGGTGATGGTGATGGTGGTGCGGGTGGTGCTGATGCTGGTGCTGGTGCTGTTGCATTTCGTCGGAGCCCGCATAGTTTGGTCGCAAGTCCAGAGGTTCCTGTCCCTGGCGCAACGACTGAGTTAACCACATCATTTCTTCCATAAATACCGGTTGAGGGATCGGCGTGGACGGCGGTGGCGATGAGCTCACCGGCGGCGTGTCGGGCGGCGTGCCCGGTGTGCTCGGGTACATCATGGAAGGCGCGGCTTCGGCCCCCGAAACTTTGACCGCGGGCGTGCCTCCGGTTAGGTTAGGTGTCGTGGCCGCAGCGTGGCTGTTGATCACCATTCCAGCACCGGTGCCACCCACACCGTCAATTACCTGGTTAATAGCGTGCTGGTGTCTGATGAGTGGATGGTGGTGTGGGTATTCCTGTTCGCAACCCGGTGGCGTGAGTAGGTAGTGCGGCGGCGGTGGCGATGACTGCACCAAGGTGGCAGTCACAGCTCCGGCGGTTGAGACGGGTGCGGCCGCCGTGGCCGGGGACCCGTTGTTGACGCCAGTGATGGGCATAGGCGGCAAACGGCCACCAACGCTGGCGGTCCCCCGGCCACCATTGCAAGGTGGGTGTTGTTGTTGTTGTTGCTGCTGCTGCTGGTGGTGTTGGTGGTGATGGTGATGACCCCCATGTTCCTGGTTTGGCTGTTGGTGGTGATGGTGGTGATAGTCGGACGATTGGATCTCGCGTTTCACCGTCGATACGTCCAGGTGGTCGAGCACGAACTCGTTGACGTACTCGTCGGCCAGCCGTGGATCGTCAGCTTCCATGTTGATATAATATACGAAAACTCAAGTGGCGAGAGATAAAAAAATATCAAAAATAATAAAATATAATAATTGCAGTCGACTTAATATCACTTTGCTATCGTATTAAAAAATTACGGAAGATACCGCATCGCGAGGAGCGATGTAACTCGTGTGTAATTACGACGACTACTATGATGATAAAAATTGTGATCATTCACATCGCAGACGACGGACGAATGAAATAATATAAAGAACGACGATATTAAAATATTGCAATATTCGAATGCTGTCTTATAAAATAGAAATTATTATAAAACGACGGTATGTAAAACGTATGACAGGTGTACCGCGTGAGGCGTACGACACGCGCGACGTGTTCGGTGTGAGACGCGCGGCGTCAGGGTGCGATCGGTGCAGTTTCTGCAATGCCGACGGTGGCCTCAGGTTCGGCGCGCGCTCCCGATCACCGACGCGGCGCCGCGCCGGGTGCCGCCGGTCAGTGGGTGGGACGGCGCACGCTCATTGGCCCGCTCGCACTGCGTTCCCGCCCCCCGTCGGCGGGGTACGGGGCCGCGACAGACACCTCTCGGCCACCGCCGCCGCCGCGGCGCAATAATAATAATTAGATCGGCGGCTCGGCGGCTGTGCTGGTTATTTTTTCTATTCCGCTTTTTCGTTTTCCCGGCTCAAGGTCAATCCCGTCCCGTCTTGCGTGGCCGCTCACCTATCGTGTTCTGACGGCGGTCGCTATGTCGGGTGGTGACAGCGGTGGTGGCGGTGCTGGCGATGCGGCGCCACCGCCGCGTGTCCGATTAGCTGAAAAGTAAAAATAATTCCCTTGTCAGACGCCTTATTAAGATGTCGCTGCTGTATAGTGCATAGACATATATTTATATTATGTTGGTTGATAGGAGAGTGGCTAACTGTGATATGGACTACCCGTTTGCTGTGCAAAAAATAGGGTAGCAAAAAATTTTTGATACCTCTTTTGAAGGCACAGTACATTGTTTTACTCCATCCCGCACCCCTTTGCGTGACCAGACCAAAAACAAAGTTTACAAGAATTGATAATGAACACATAACTACCGACTTTCACCTTATTCCTATACAGATAACATTTAGTATCTAGTCCCACGTGCCTTAAAAATTAACTTCGTACTGATATGTAACTATAATGTGTTATCTGCAGTAAATTACCTACATAAAGTAAATTATATTTATGTAGAATGGCTAAATTTATATCAAACATTTTAAAGCATCGATATGAATATTCGATTGAATCATATTACCTATAAAATTTATTTTTTTAAATTATTTTGAATTATTGTTATTTGCAATTATTTATCTGATGACTGATGGTGCACTGGATAGAAGAAGGTGGTTATTATTATAGTTAGTGATGACCTAAGTGTCAACCAATCAAAGTGCATCTACTCATTTTCTACTTTTTTATTACTTATAGGTACAGGCACTCTCTATAGGTTCAGGTATAATATATGACCTAGGTACTATACGTAGCTGGTTAGAGTAAGTTATATAATATACAAAATACATATTATATAATAATACGTGAGGACATCCGAGATCAAGTATTTAAATATTTGTCAAAAATATAGATATAGTTCACTATTTATCTAAATAATATAATATATATATACTATATATTCCTAGGTATAGGTAGACCTATAGGACGGGATGATCGTCGTATATATTATATCTGGGGCAGCTGAATTTATTTGGATCACGATCGACTGAGAATAATATAGAATCCGAAAGACTCAGGAATAAAAAATAATTTTTTTATTTTAAATTCTTTATAATTTATATTAATAATAGACATGCGTGTATATAAATATTAAAATTAACATGACTGTTTCACATTAAATTTCTAAATATTTTCAAAATAAATTAACATTATATATTATATTGCTGGCGTAGAAAACGTGCGTCGTTGCATATAACCTATAGTCGGCCTTATGTCGATTATTATCTGGGGAATAGTATTTGCAAGTAGCATACTGATAAACGAAGACTCTACTACAATGATCTTCAGAAAGTATGTATCAGTATATTGGTATAAGTGCAGTCGGTATTCAGATTTTATAACTCTCGTGTGAGCAGAAAATGCCATTCCACACAGTCAATAGACATAATATAATTTTATTCGAAATATGAGTAATAATATTATGTAACTGCGTATCTATTAACTCGTTTAAATGTATATTTAAATATTTATTATTATTACCTAGGTAATACTATAGTAAGTTCTGACAAAAACAGATCGACTCTGATATCGTCCGAAATCGACCGTTTGGCCACCCCTGCAGCAAGAACCACAGTCGGACTTACAGAAACAATACCACGCTATTCGATATTTTTTCCTGTACAAGAAAAACCTATCATAAATAAGTTTTTTTTTTTAATAATAGTAACCGCACGACAGTGAAAACATTACGAAAAGTTAGAAACAAAAAAACGTGTAGTACCCCCGCCCATCAACATAATATATTTATGTCAAAATAGAATATTTTAGGGACCGTTCGAGTTGACCTAACCTAACCAAGTTCGACTGTATAGATGCGGTACGACATAATATTATGCTGATATACCTGTGTTCTATAACCTATACATTTATATATTATATATTAATATTGTCGTGTAGGGGAATCGTGTATCGATGTCTTAAAACTCCTCGTCGCCTGCATGTGCGCTGGAACGATGAATTTATCCGAAACGATATACGATACGCTTACCTACCTATTACGTACCTATTACCACCGTATACCACAGTATATTATTATTATGCGAATAGTATAGACGTGGTGGTACACTGACCTATAGAAATGACACATAAGAAATCGTATAACGTATTTTGTCGAACTCGCGCGACAGTCGATGAATTCATAATAGGTAACAATAATAATATTTTTTTTGTGTGAAATGATAATATTATATATTTGAATGAAATGTCATTATTATTGTATATATAGTATATAGATACAATATTATTATACGTGTATATTATTGTTTATTTCGTGGAATGAAGTTAGACTGCACATTTGATTTGATTTTTTTCAATAAAATTGTTTTCATTTATAGCGTAGAATATGTGCTTTGAAAGTATGGTATGAATAAATTATCGTGGTATACTATATAGTATACGTTTTTTAATCTAAATAATTATAGGGTGTGATACTGTGATTAAGTAAACACACTGTACATTTAATGCACCTACTGTAGGTATACATGTTTTAGTATGTTAATTAGGTAGGCTATCAGTAGAGTATCTAGGATTTTTTCGAGGGTGGCGGGGGGGGGGTATAAAGATTTCAATAGACATATTCAGTACACACAGTAATATTCATATTATTATATACATGTTGCATTGTGTAGACCTCCCCCCCATATAACAATAAGAGCCCTTACTGATACCAGCTACTGATTACGTAGATTGCATACATTTTTACATCTTCACAATTAATGCAATCTATATACAATTTGATTATAATAATTGATGTGACCATAATATTTAAATGTTCAATCAAATATATTTAAAAATATTTAATTTGAAAAAATTAGGGTAAATAATTTTTCCTAAACGATTCAGGATTTATTGCATATCATTATCTGGTACAATAATTTTTAGAATGTTTAGGTACCTATACCTATACTACCTATACCCATATTTTAAATTGCTTTGAAATTTACTGAGACAACTGATAACACGCACCCACTAGTGTGATTAACAATTAACAGATAACAATAATCAATAAGTACCGATAGAACATATACCGCGTGAGATAAAGAGTACCTACCTATTAATATAATACACATTACACACATCAAAGAGTAATAATCATTTTATTATTATACATATTTTAATACACCAATATCCTAATGAAAAGTAGTTAAAATATTTTTTAGCTTGATTAAATAGACATCAAACCTAACCCGTTATTATTAAACATATATATTACCTATATATCTTACTATTAAAATTACCTATATAATAAATTGAATTGTTTGTGATTAGGTAAAAAGAAAATAAAATATAAAATACAATATAGGTACCGCTATTATTAATAATAATAAATATAAAACAGTAATGATCAGCTTTGTTTAACACATTATAATAATAATTCTCTAATGCATAAGTAGTTAAAATATTGTTTGGTTTAATTAGGCATCAGTACGCACCCATTATTATATATAATTTATCTTATTGTTAAAAGCGTCTGTAATAAAATTATTTTTAAGTGATTAGATCGGAGAAAAACAAATTTATAAAATATAATATACCGCCTATTAACATATTAGGTACATCAAAGAGTAATAATCATCTTAATAGTTATAATACACGAATTTTCTAATGCTTAACTATTTAAAATATTTTTTAGTTTGAATAGACACTTATTATTGTTATACGCGTATTAGTATCATACATTTATGAATTGATTAGTAAGTGATTAGGTCTGAGGAAAACCAGTTTATAAAATGTAATAGAATTTGACAGGTATAATATACTTATATATACGCATGTACCTACTTTACTTGTAAGAATATAATTTTATTATTTTTCCACCGGAAGGTATGGCCATTAAGTATTTCTCAAGTATAAAAACGATTAGGTATGTGTACTGTAAACAATTTATTTTAACTAAAAAATAGTTTAGATATCAATATCATATCATCGTATTCAAATATGTATAATTAAATTTAAGAATAATATACTGAAAAACAAAACACCAATTACCAATAATTAGACTAATAGTGGTCTTTAGAAAAAGAATGGCAGTGACTTAAAAACGGCCAAACTAGAGGTTAGAAGGAAGGCGTTGAGTACATGGCATAGAGAATGGGATGTGGCTGCAGGAGGACGTTGGACTCACAGGCTAATCCCGACGATCGGAACCTGGAAAAACAGGAAGCGAGGGCAAATAAATTTTCACCTGACGCAATTCTTGAAGGGACACTTTTCAACGAATATTTATTGAGATTCAAGAAGAGGAACGATGCGACTG